CCCCCCCCCCCCCCCCCGAAGCAGAAAGAGAAAAAAGGGATACCTCCACCACCGAAACCCATCAATGGCAGCATGAGTCAAGGCTTCAGGGTCTGCGGTTTGACACTGGAGAAGGGCTTTCGGTTCAGAAGGATCGCCGACACCCCAAAGTCTGATATCTCAAGCACTTCCCTGCCAAGGATCGCTGCTCTTCCGTCTCAGCCTCTGCGTCTTGCGTCGGCAGTGAAACCGAGGAGACCTCCTTCAAAGGCTTTAGGTCATCCGGGTTCAAAGGTCAGGGTTTCCGGCTGTGCTTAAGGCACGTCCGACCTGGACTCGCCCGTCTGAACCTGAGAGTGTGCCAAGCACACCTGCAAGTCGGTTCCGAGTTTAGGGTTTAGGGTTTAGGGCTGTTCTAAGCACGTCCACAAGCACGCGAGAACCACGAGCCACCCGTAGGCTGCGAGCGATTACAGCCAATCGCCGCGGCAATCTTGTTACCGCTTCTCTGTATGTATTTGCCATCGCGCTGACTCGCTGCCGGGCATCTTCACGGGATGCAAAGAGAGGGTTTAACTGGTTGAACCCTAAACGTTAAACCCTAAACCCTAAACCCGACATCAAAAGGCACAGCGAGGAAGAAGGGGACGCTGCCAGAAACCCCGAAGCTGCGACCCGAGAACCTCTAAAGCCCATCAACACGTCCTTCCAGCCCGCCTTCTTGTCCATCCTTCGATTGGGGGCTTATAGTAAGGAAATAGGGTATTTGGGGTCTCCGGAATAGTGGACAATTCGGGTAAGAGGATTGAGGCCATTGTGGTTGCGGCCCAGTAAGCTGCTTGGGGTCTGCGGAGAATACTGGGGCAGTCGGGAATGAGGCTTTGAGAAGTTTGGGGTTCTTAGGGACTTGCTATCAGGCTCTCAGGCTCCTCTGGTGCTCTACTGCCCCTGGTAGCTCTCGAAGCTGGGAGGGAACCTTGAGCTCTGTAAGGTTGTAAACATATGTACGGTTTGAATACACGAAGATATACATATATTGGATACTATGTTAGGCTGGTTCTTGGTGTGGCAGTGACTTCGGTGCAGGGCTTCGGTTTTGGGGACCAGTTCTAGGATGATCAGAAACACCTCAAGCCCCACCAATACTACTCCTTGAAGTTCCTTCGCTTTAATGATTAGAATAGGGTTTTGGTACATCGGTCCTTACATTGGGACCCGAAACCCTCTTCCCATGCTTTGGGCCCTTGAACCACACCGGCAGGCCAGAGAGCCCTCCGCCCAACTAGCACACCCACTAAACCATACGAAGTCCCCCGAATCCCGCCCCCCCCGTCGTGGCCTTGCACGGGAGACCTCAACACACCAAAGCCCCATCCATGACCCCTAACCCCTAAACCGTAAACCCTAGAACCCTAAAAGCCCTAAAAACCCTAAAAGCCCTAAAAACCCGAAAACCCCTATTTAAAAAAAACAGAAACATCAAAACCCCAAACCTTTTCGGAGGCGGAGCGGCCTCACCCAGAAGAGCAGAAGAACACAGAGGCCGCTGAGCACCGCCTTTCCAGAGGTCCCGCAAATAAAATCTGCGGCTTCCTAGATTTTTAGGGGTTTAGGAGTTTAGGGCTTAGGAGTTTAGGGGATTTTAGGGTTTTTAGGGGTTTTAGGGGTTTAGGGGTTTTGGGGTTTGGGGGTTTAGGGTTTTAGGGGTTTTAAGGGTTTAGGGTTCAGGGGGTGACTTCCAAGTTCGGTCCTACTAAAACCGTAAGCAGCAAAAAGAAGCACCAGATCCCCTGCAATACCCCATATAGTCACAGGCGCCTATAGTACCCTTATATTGCGAAGCCCCGCCCCCCAGTCTTCCGAGTACAGGTGCCTGCGGCCGGAGCACTAGAAGTGGTATGCTCTTTGCAAAGCTGCTTTAGCAGCCTTCTTAAAGTAGCATTGGGTTTCGGGCCCGGGGGGGTAGGTTCTACTGTGACTGTATCAAGGAACCCTGAGGAATAGTGGTATCCAACAGTGGCCGTCCCCGATGTACCTGTGTAAGATTAAAAATATAAAATATCGAATAGTATTGTATAGTATAGCGCAGCATAGCATACTGGTGTATAGTACACTATACGCTGTCAATATGATAGTCAACATCTCCACCTGGGCAAGGCAGACCTCTCAGCTGAAGTCTGAACACATGCCCTTCCTTCAAACAAGACAGGAGCCAACATGAAACCAGATGCGGCAGCTTGGCTTAGTCTGCACTGTACGCCAGTCAACGGGCACCTGCTCAATTTCCACTAGACCGAGACCGGAGCTGTGGCATACCGTTCTTCAGGGATCGTTAGTCCTTAGGGCCTTAGTGGAGCGCACCTTAACCCTGATGTCCAGGGTCTCCCCGAAATCCTGAGAAGCCCGCCACATCCCCTCTGCCCTTCCCCATAAGCAAGCCCTGACAATAAGATCTTTGTCATAAAGAGCCCTAAATACGATACGCCAGCAACTTCAGGAAGCCCATGATGCAAGCTCAAAGCCCTCGATCCCTTCTCTGTCCTGAAGGATGAGGAAGAAGACGGGATTGTTATCAACCACCTCCGGCGTTCGCGCAAAGTTTTCGGGTTTACGGGGGGGTTGGGTATTTTGAGGTTAGGCACCCCCCTTTTTTGACAGTAAGATGTAGGGCCTAAGGCTTTTCATGGTCTTGGACGCAGCCTTATGAGGGCTTGCCACTTAGGGATTTGGGACTTGAAGGCTTCATTATCACAAGTACCCCCCTTTTCAGGGCACGCCGGGTATACTCAACTGAACCGTCACATGAACACCCGGACTTCAGCAGTTCAGACCTTAAACCCTAAACCCTAAACCATGAATGAACTGAGCCGCCTTCAGCACCAGCACTAACATCACAGGGATGCCGGTCATCCTCGGATGCGAGGGGGCTTGCGTCGATTCTGCGATACATTTGATACGGGTTGTGGTAAGGGGAGTATAAGTATAAGTTAAGGCAGCTATGAGGATTCCAAAAGGGGGGCCTTCATGCAGACGTGATGATGGAATCCCTTCCTGTCCTAGGAGGATGGCCTGGCCTGACAGTGGTTAATGAGCCCTGGACCCAGCAGGAAAAGGCACCCCAACTGCCAACCCCGGGCTGGGAAAGCGCTGAAACTCGAAGGCCGAAGATTAACGAGCCAGCGCGTGCGGTTTGTACAAAATGCATGTCGGGCCACGCCAAGCTCATGAAGTTGTTGGCGGCAAAATAGGCTCCCACCGCCTCTTCTCGATCCTGATTCCCACTCTTTCAGAAAACTCATGTCCCGAAGTCGCAGATCGGATCTGCAGCCGTCCGCCGCAGCAGGACTAGAAAAACCCTCCCCCAAAACCCTAAACCCTAAACCCTAAACCGCCTCCCACCAGCCCAAGCTCTGCAGGAGGCCTCGCCCCCCCAAGCCCGCGGGGGCCTCCGCGGCGGTGACGTCGTTGATGAGCGCCAGCATCACGTTGCCTCAAGGGGAGCGGAGATCGGGGGACCGGAGCTGCTGAGGTGTCTCCGTGCCTGGGGGCGGCCCTGTGTGCCCTTCCCTGGCCGTGTTTTTTTCTGTCAGGTCTCCGGCTTTCCGAGAGTCTGGAGAGCGCCGAGGCTTTTTCTGAAAGATACAGCCCTGCACGATGCCTCAAGGACTCAAGGGGTTTAGGGCATAGGAGTTTAGGGTTTGGGTTGCGATGGTCCGGGCTGTTGTGGACCTGGGTATGGGTGCTGTATCGAAGCGTTGCAACGACCATTGTGCCAACAGGCTAAGTTATCGCTATTTCCGGAATGGTGCTAGGAAGTTGGTGTGCCCCTTTGATTCTGGGCGTACAAGGCAGTGTGAAGGATTTGGGGCTTTGCTCGTGTATTATTTAAGGCTTCGCAAGCAGTCTCAAGAACTCAGCCGGCCACTGGTCAGGCCATAGGACCCAACCACCTTCACCACGGTGCTGATCAGGAGGCCCTGAGAGGGAGAAGTGGCAGGAGGGCCCAAGCAATCCATATCTACCAACCCAGAGAGCCCAATACTCCTTAAATTATGGAATAGACCTTAAACTATGGGGACCTTAATATTGGGTTTAAGGCATGTTCCGAAATTAAGGGGTACGGCGGTCCAGGACCACTTTGTGACAAGCGTGTGTGGGGACCCCAGGCCCGAGGTACATGCTTGGTCCTCCCGTTGCCTCTCGTCTAACGCCACGATTGCAAAGCATAACCTCTTCGAACACCTCATGGGCCCAGAGTCGACGACTCGGAACTGGCAAGAACTCAATAAACCCTGAACCCTAAACTCTAAACCCTAAATCGAACACCGAGGGCCGCACCCGGGCATTGCTGCCAAAGATCATTAACGCCCTGGGCATGGAGCTGAGGGGCAGCGAGAGTCTGAGCCCTAGATGGGTGAAATGCCCATCCTAGGAATGTGGCACTAACATTGGGTCCTGCGTAGTTAGACTACGGCATCTTTAGATATGTTCCACTACGACTATGTTCAGACATAAGGACTACTAATCCTTCGGATCTTGCGGGCCAAGTTGCTCAAACTCCCAGAAGATGGCTTCAGAGGCTGTTAGAATCGACAGCAGCGCATGTACACTACGAACCCATCCCGAGGTGCACAGTCGCACTCCCCGGAATATTCCTTGGCGTATCTTGGGACTTTGCATGGACAAAGCATATCAAGCGCTGATAAACGCTGCAAACCAACATGAACACTTCAAGAACCAACCAAGGTTCAGGACCGACGTAGTCTTGCGCCTGTAAGGCCGCCCGGTCGCGGACTATGACCAAGTCTGTTTTGGTTTGGAAACTCAACCCCTAGAACCCAGAACAAACCCGAAATGGTCCTTGCCAGAGCCCCTTCCAGGGAGCCACTAAAGAAACCTATCAAAACGAACCCTCAAAAGAGCCCGTAATGAACCCTTAGTGAACCCTGAACCCTAAACCCCAAACCGTCCCCTCCGTTTTTTGAGCTCCAGGCCAGCCGGGCGCGAAGGTGCCCAGGGCGAAGATCGCGGCGGCGAGGCGGCGATCCACGGAATCGCCTTTGGAAGAAAGGGGGGGAGCTCTTTGGGCTTACGAGAGCCACGTTTAGGGCTTATAGGGTTTAGGGTTTATAGGGTTTAGGGCTTATGGGGTTTAGGGTTTGGGGGTTTACGGGGGGTTTGGGCTTTAGTGTTTCTTTAGTGATCTAGGGATTCTAGGGGGTTCGTTCGAGGGGTTCGCATAAGTCGAAGAATCCTCCTTTGAGGGTCGATGATACAAGCCTTTCTCTAGGGTTGCTTACAAGGGTTTAGGGTTTAGGGCATCGCAGGGCTTACGGTTCAGGATCCGGGGTTGCATTTTTGCATTCTGGGGTTTGTTTATGAAACGTTTCCAGTGGTGAAGAAGGTCTTGTTGCCTGTTCAGGGGGTAGGAGCACTTCAAACAGACTCCAGAATGCTGGAAAGGTGCCTTTCTTCTGACGGGGGGAAGGAACGCTCATGACCGCCATGGCGCGTGCAAGTTTTGTGCGGCGCGCGCAGAGTGTCAAGAACTGTCACATTCCCGGTTCACGGCTGCTGCAGTTCTGATTAACAGGCCAGTTGCACGCAAGCACTGCGATGTACGCACAGTGATGGGAAACAGATATGAACTTGCAAGGCATGACAACACGGATAACAAACAAGCCAGGGTCAATATTCAGGTTTTTAGTAAGACCCGCATATTGACCCCGACGTCTTCCCGTGTCCCCTCCTTAAGAGGGCCCCGATATCCCCATACCCACCAAACCCTACTTTCAAGAAACAATCGCTTCCGTGGTCCGGTGCAAAAGAAACAGCTTCGTCAACTGGGTCTTCGCACTAAAACGACCATACGGCCCACCGAAGATCACAGCCACCTGATGCTGGGCTCTTCTTTGATTTCAGGAACGTCGAGGAGTCGAAGGGGCCGCATTGGGGCTTTTTGGCTCCTGGTAGGGAACTTCAATATTTCTTGCATTTTGAACAGGGGCTTTGACAGCAGCTGGGTGGCTTGTGAAGGTTTTTCGAAGCGGCTAAATGAATAAGATGTCAGGAAATGCAGGAGCCTCAATCCGGGTTTGGGGTCAAGTATAGAGCATGCAGAATATGAGAAACGGAATGCTGGGCTCTCTGATGGTGAGGAGTGGAGTTTCCCGCCCGTGCCTCTTCCAGAACCTCTTCTCTCAAACGAAACAATCCCATTCGGCCTTTGAAAGGTGCAGAGCATGTTATGAGGCGTGCGCTTGACTGGGCTTGCCCTACGTTAGCTACGATGAGGTCCTGAGAGAGCCAATGTGGAATCTGCCGCCACTTCGTATCATTGCTGTGGCTCGAGGCACCGGGGTTCAGGGTTTAAGCCTCACTGCTGCAAGGCTTTGGCGTGATCCTGAAACCTCCACACTCAAAACTAAGCCCGATGTCTCACAGGTCTGAGCTCAGGGCGGAATTGATCCCGATTGCTGCGTATGACATGTACTCGGACATGTGATTGCCTCGGCTGGAAAGGAAGCACATTGGCGATAATACCGACTACAGCCTACAATAGAAGAGACCCGGCCCCATACTTCCTAAACCGCCAGGCAACATGCCCCGTACATCCCAAACCGAAAGCCCTAATCCTACTGAGAAAAGAGCAATGACTTTCCCAAGCGTTCCTCCATATGCCGAAGAATTCTGACAACTCTGAGATCCTGGGGCGTGATCATGGTTGCATCGCCTCGAAAAGGGCTTTGTGCGGAAGTACTGTGTCGATAGGACTTTGCTTTCTTGGAAGGGGTTTCTCAAGGCCGCAACATCGCCCGCCAAGGGCCAGTATAGTTGCACACGGAGCAATAAGGGGATATTGCTCAAACCCCTAAACCCTCAACCCCTAAACCCTAAACCCCTAAACCCTACCTTTTTATGGACTTATGTGAGGAAATCATAACAAGGAACCCTAAACAGGTTGGTTCTTTCCTTTGTTAAAGGGACCCCTAAACCCCCAAACCCAGAAACTGGGTTCCTGTTAAGGGATTCTGTTTAAGTTGCCATAATAGGGATCTATGGTTCATAATAGTATTATGGTAACTTAAACTAAATCCCTTAAAACCCTACCTGTCTATGGACCAATATGAGGAAATCATAATAGTCAACCCTAAGGGCTCACGGAGCGCTCGGGGCCCGGGCCCCATACCCGCGCTCGAAGCAAGGACAGCACCTCCGCAGTGCCAGCGGTGGTTTCTTTTTTGGGGGTGGCCTTGGGGGGTTTTTGGGCGAAGGTTTGAATTGAGGGCCTAAGTTTAGGGGCTTATGCTGAGATTTCTTCGGTGGCGGTACCATGGCCTGCGCTTACCCTGATCAGAAGCCTGCCGCCTTTGCAAGTTTCAAAGTGAGTAGAACAGTATTTAGGGTTTAGGGTTCATTATGACTTGCGGCAATTATGCCAGCATGTGAATATGTTGCTGTGCTGTTTCTGTTTCGTACGATGATAGCAGTCGCACAAATATGGTCTTGTGTAACTCTACTGGTCTTTAAACATCGACTATACTGCCATAGGCTAGAACCCTATAGCAACACCGAGATATTCATCCACCATCTGCGAAACCCTACTTCACATCGATCCAGGGCCCATCTGAGGCGGTCACGAAGGTGTCTGGCAGAGTGGCTGCTGCCATCTGCAGGCCGGAGGCCAGCAGCACCTGCGCTCCACACAAGGACTTATATAAGGAAACCCTAAACCCTAAGCCCTAACATAACAAGGAGCCCTAAAAAGGGGGAGGTTCTTTGTGGTCCAAGCTAAACCCTAAACCCTAAACATGGGCCTCTTTCGCTGGGTCTTGGGTTTAGGGGTCAGTGTTAAGGATCCTGAAGGAAGAGCGCCTGTGCCTGCTAGATGGACACTCTCTAGACACGGTCAGGGTAACGCTAGGGATATAAGGGCGAGCAAGTAACCAAGTCAAGAAACTAAGCCAGCTTGCAGAAGCACGCTGAAGTCAAGAACTTCGGGGCAGCCAAGCGTGGGCCTTCCAGAGCTGCGGGTTTCGCCTTCAGCTGACGAGAGAAAAGCAGCGTTCCGGCGATGGTATTGATAAGAAGCTTCCTACAAGGTTTCTATACGGGTTCTTTAGAGGATTCCAGTATGGTTTCTATGCTTTTAAGGCCTTGCTGAATGTACCTTCCCTATGGAAGCCTTATGCAACCCTCACTGAAACCTTAACTTGCAAAATCTCCAAACACTAAACCCTTGCAACCCCAAACCCCAAGACTCAGTCCCGTGCGTCAGGAGCCGGCACCGCGAGGTGAGGAAGCTGCAGGGGCCCTGAGCCCGCCGCTCAGGCGCTCTCGGGCTCTAAGGCAAGCGATGCAAAGAGCAAGAAAACTTTAATGCCTTAAGATGCAGGTATTCAAGTTTAGGCTTAGGGACATCGGCTCAGAATGGAAAAATATGGAAGGTTCATGCAAAAAACCTATAACTATGTCTCCCCCCGATGCTTGAAGTCGGCCCGCGATCCCAAAAATCCAATTTGCAAGCAAGGCAGGTCTCTTTTTTTGTGAGGCCCTTTTGCAGCCTAAACCCCTAAACCCTAAACCCCCTAAACCCTAAACCTAAACCCCCTAAACTAAACCCCCTAAACCCTAAACCCTAAACCCTAAACCCCCTAAACCCTAAACCCCAAACCCTATAAACCCTAAACCCTAAACCCAGGGGGTCGCTCCGCCCGGCTGCGCCTCCTTCGCCTCCCCCTTCTCGTCGGAGTCCTCCATGGCTGCGCCCTGGGCGAGGCAGGGGGCTGCCGGACCTGGAGCCGAGGTTCAGGATGCACGTAGGGTTTTAGGGTTTAGGGGGTTTCGGGTTTAGGGCTTAGGGGGTTTAGAATTTAGGGTTTAGGGTTTAGGCTTTAGGGTTTAAGGATTTCTGTTTTTTAACCGGACCTTTTTCCTCTGCAGGAATGTCCGAGGTTTAGGATTTAGGGTTTANNGGTTTAGGGGGTTTAGGGGGTTTAGACGGTTTAGGGGGTTTGGGGTTTAGGGTTTCGGATTTAGGGTTTAGGGTTTAGCGGGTTTAGCGGGTTTAGGGGGTTTAGGGGGTTTAGGATGCACGTAGGGTTTAGGGTTTAGGGTTTAGGGGGTTAGGGCGGCCCCCGCGAGAAGCTGGAATTGTCGAAAGCACAACTGGATCCGGAAGTTGATTTCCACCCCCCCCCTGTATTCACATTCTGGTGATTCCTTTGGACAAGAAGTCCATCGTGAACAAACATTGCGACTGCAATCAACACTTTCAATAGTGAAACGACGACATGAAATTGCATGATGGATGGTCATGCAAGGATCATGTCACACGCAAGCCTTGCCCAGCATAAACCGTCTGAAACCTGGACGCCTGCTTGCGTTTTACCTTGAGCTTCCTGCCGCCTGCCTTGACCACGCACAGGCGCGGCGAGAGATGGCACGGCACTTGCAACTTTCCAACTAGTGAATGCAGCCTGACAGACTATATACACTGACGGAATCAATTGCTGTGCAGACTCTCTCTCTCTCGGATCATCAAGGGTTGCAGTCTACCACCATATCAACATTCAACAGACTTTCATCGTTCTGACATACCGAAGCGTACCAGGTCATGACAGCTGAGCAAAAAACAGTCGCGGCGACCAGAGTTTGGGACCCTCCGGTCCAAAGCCCCAAACAGTGTTGATCAGCCTTGCCAACTACTCCTACGCGGCCAACAATCTACCCTGCTTCACAGATTAATTATGACAATCAATATACGCCTCTTCAGCACTTCAAGTCGCTGTAGGGAAACGTCGCAGAAGTCGATTTCTGAAAACTCAGGCAAGCAGACATGCAGAAAAAGTCCTGGCGAGGGGAGACGCTGGGTTGTCTAATCCAGTGGTGGTGTCTCGCGCCCGTGGTTCTCATTCAGCACAATCTTGCATTGATTCCGGCTGGTTGAAGCAGTCTGGGTGTTCCAAGCCTGTGGTAGTTCCGTACCTGTCCAACCGGATTCAACCGGCAGATGTCTTCGCGCACCTGTTGTTTCCACAAGACAGACATGCACAGACCCCGTGCCAAGCACGCGTCTGCTTGGATCTTCTGCGCTCTTAGGCCACCAAGCACGTCGCTACAAATCGCTACGCCGTTCAGGCAACACCTCTGCGCATCGATTTCACGCACCTGCACCAACGAAGGCCGTCCGTTCCTGCATTCTGGGCAGTAACCGCCCGTGAAACGTTCTCGGCTTCATGACAGCACTCACCACCAATCGCCACATGAGCGTTTGCCCGCGGTGAATTCATGCTGACGGACCTGAAGTAGGCGGCTGGCGGTCATGAGGTAACTTGGATGATTCAGCTCTCTGACTTGTGCTACCCTGTACAACAAAGAGGTATGGTGTGGGCTTCAAGGCTAGTTACTTCGTCTGGGAACTGTCTTCGGATTAACGTTCGGGCGTGTACTCGGAAAGGCGGTGCATGCTGCGAGGCAGCATCTCCAGAAGCACCTTCCGCCTACTCTGCGCGTGGATATGAAGGAAGGATGTAGCCGGGCATGTCTGTGTGTGTGTGCATGCTGCATACATGTGCCACTTGCAAGTCTCAAGCCTTCACTGCCAGCCACGTAGACCGTGACTATGACTCTGAACAAAGCATCCCTAATCCCGCATTCCGAAACCCAACACTCCCCAAAGTTCAAAGCTCGAACGCCAATCCTGAACGCCCCCGATCCCAGAACTCGGAACCCTGAACCCAAAACCCTGCACCCGAGGCCCTAAACACGGAAGAGCCCCGGCTGAACGGCACTGCAGTCCAAAGGAGAGAGTATTCCAAAAGAGAGAGCCGTGTGCAAATGCCCAAAACAGGCAACTGAACACTAGCTTTGCTCACGGCCCCTTCGCAAGAGACCTGAAGGCAGGATCCCTCCTGCGAAATCCAAGACCCCAGACCCTACATTCAAGCGAGAAGTCTCCGGTAAGGCGAAAGCCACCTCAAAAGCCTAACCCTGAAGCCCCCCCCGTTGCGCGAACAATCCTCGAAAATATCTCAAGAACACCCCCATAAAACGCAGCACCCCTCGCGCCCCCTAAACCCTTTTTAAGCATCCAGGTCAGGGCCTCGGAATCGCAGCCGGTCCTCGCATGTCCTCGCGCTCCTCGAAGACTCGGGCGCCTTGCGCTTTCCCAGGTAAGGCTTACGGGTTTAGGGTTTAGGGTTTAGGGTTTAGGGTTTAGGGGTCTATGAGTTGAGCTCGCAGGGTCGGTCAGTGACGCTCGAGGAATGCAGGCAAAGAAAGTTCGAGGAAGCGGTTGTGCCGCATTGGCTTTTCTACTTGCTCCGGCTGACCAGCGACCTCATCGCTTCTCCAGACAGGGGACGAACGCCAAGCCCTCTGGGCTTTTTTAGCCTGGTGGGGCATTTGAACTTAAGGCGCGAAAAGTACAGCACTCATTCGCAACCCTGCAAGAAACAAGGAAGAACCCCGGGCGCCCTAAAAGGTGGGTCGCGCCATGGTTCACAATCGTCGCTGGTTTCTGAAGCAGAGCGGGCGCTTTGGCCTGGCTCCGGCTGTAATTTCCTCAAGAGAAACTGGGCAACTCAGAGGGCATCGAAGGAGTACACGGCATCACTGGCCTTGCTAGGGCCGCCATCGAGCTTCAAGACCTTAAACCTCAACTGCGCATCGTCTAGCGGCAGGTCCTGCAAGTTCGTCTGGGCGCTGGTGTCGACCAAACACCAGCCCCCATTCTCCCTCATGCGGACGAACCGATTGTGCTTTGCATTGTGCAAGGCGACCTCTTCTCCGCCTGAGTTTGGGAAGTACCTCACGGAAAAGATCTCATTCGTGAAGCTGCTTGGGAAAGGACTGGCATCCTGAAGGGGGCTCCCAGTCATGTCGCTCCCCGACATCTTCACAAAGCGGTTCATGGAGCCGCTATGGAGCGCAATCGTGCCGTTCCCGGCATCCACCACGGTGAGTCGCTCCCAGGTCCAGCTATCTGGGAGGCTTGCGTCCGCCCGGGAGCTGCAACCCATATCGGGCTGCTCGTCCATGTTCAGGAACCTTCGGACTTGGGCGTTGTGCAGGGCAACGATGCTGCCGGGCTCTAGGGACGACTTCAAAGGCACCACGCTGAGATGCTCCCACTGCCAATTTGCCGGCAGCTGGTTCCAAGCCGTCTGCTCGCTGCGGGTGACGAAGCCGTCAGACACGCTGAGGAAGCGATTGTGGGCAGGGCTGCGCAGTGCGATCTGATTGTTGGCCAGCTCCACAACGTGGAAGCGCTCCCAAATCCAGTCTGCAGTTAAATCGGAGATTGCTCTGACTGGACTCGCATCCACCTTGCTATCCGTCATTCGTACAAAGCGGTTGTACGCTGCGCAATGCAGCGCAATCTGCCCATTCCCCGCATCTACGACCGTGAAGCGCTCCCAACCTAGATCGTCCGCATTTTGGTTGGTGTCTTGGGTAGCAGAGTCCACACCAGTGGTCGTCATTCGGACATAGCGCTTGTGTAGCTTGCTCTTCAGGGCGATCTGGTGGCCGGGCCTTATCATCGGGGGCGGCACGCGCTTGATGACGCTGTTGCTCGTGATGTTGCTCATGGCGCCGACGGCCTTGTCAACCTCGCTTTCCTCGAAATCCATGGAGGAAAGGATCTCCCGAGTCAGGGCAGCCATGTCGAAGAGCCTAAGCCTGTCTGAGTCTGCTCCGAAGTCTCCAAACTTGAAGGATGTAAGGAAGTCGATCTTGTTGTCCTCCAAGAGACCTTGGATGTCAAAGCTTACCAAGCCAGAGACCTTGAACTTGAAGAGCTGGTGGACATTCCCCGCGGAACTGGCGCCGTCCTGCAAGACACTCATCGCCGCCATGCGGTGCAACACCTCTTCGCCTCGCAACTCTGAGGTCTTCGTGATGTTGAGGCCATCTCCCGCCTCCACGGTTGCCAAGTAGAGGTCATCCACGTGTGTGGCCCACTGCGTGCCGTCCTCGGATTCTGTCTGAGAGATGTTCTGTGCATGCCGCGTGTTGCTGCCGTTTTGGAGCCGCGACCTCGGGAACGGTTCCAAGCCTCGGGTGTTTTCTATACTGCTATTGCGAGGGAGTCCTTTCGGGATAGCGACTGTGCCAAAAGTCTTGTGCATCTTGGAAAAGGTGCCAAAAGTCTTGTGCATCTTGGAAACGCCAGGCCAAAGCCCGGCATCCGGCCGGAAGCGGTGGCGCGTGTTGCGAAGGGTGATGCTCTTCACCATGGTGTTCAAGAAACGCGCCTGAGCAGTTATGGAGGAGATGTGTTTGGGCATGAAGTCGGGCCAGCAAACTGATACAGCCAAAGAGAAGAATTCCTTGAAGAAGGAGAAGCTCACACCTGAAACGTAGGAAATCACCGGGTCCAAGTCCAATCCGACGCTGACGGTGAGACACCTCTCGACAGGTAGGTTCCAGCCGTAGACGGAGTAGCCCTGCCACTTGTCCCAGTGGTTTTGCAGAAACGTGGGGCTGCAGGGCACGGCAAATGGTTCAAGCTGAATAAAGCCATCTGGGTCCCCCTTCACCTGCCAATCTTGCTTTCTGGTCTGGTTGTTGACGCCGGACCTAGTCTTTGGTGCAAAAGCCAAGCACGAACTCGTGTCAAACTCGCTTCCATCAAACTGCGTGATAAGCCTGGAGCGGTAGCTTGCATCGCTTGCAGAGAAGCCGGCCGAGACTATCCCCTTGGGATTCGGTTTCTTCTCTGGATCGTCACCTTTCTCCTGCAGTGTTGACATCTCCCGCATCCGGCCAGACAGCACATGTTGCGAGTGCGCATGCTGCGAGTGTGTGCGGATCTGAAGGTTGCTGGCCGAGTGGTGCAGCAACGGCGCAGCGCCCACGGCTGGGAACTCGGATCTCACAGCAGCTTGGATTATGGACGCCTTCCCCTGCGTCACCGTCTTGGCCATGCCTGAAGCTATCCTGGCAAAGACCTGGATGAATTCCACCAGAATTTTATCCATCTTGGCCAAGAGGTTAAACGGCGGGACCTTCTGGACGATGTCGGTGCCCAAGCATTGGAGTGCGTCCTTGCCATTGCAGTCCAGAGCGCTTATGATCTGTTTGAGCGGATCAGGCCACTGCACTTCCACAGCATCGAAGTTCAAATCGAAAATCGTGTACGTCTTGCCTGTGATCTTCAGCTCGCATTTCTGTCTTCCCATCGTCATCTTGATTTTCTCTTTGGAAATCTCGAGTCCGGGCGCGCTCCATGCGCAGTGGTGCCCAAATCCGACATCCATCCAGTCCGAAAGGAGATGATCCACTGCCAATTCTGCGGAGTCTGTGACACTCTTGCCAATGAAAGAAGCAGAATCCGCAGACTCCTTGTGATCGAGGCGGGCGTCGACCGGCTGCGGCTGAATCTCCTTCTCCTTCGAGGCAGCTTTGGGTGCGGGCAGCGGCGTCGCAAACTCGCGCTGCTCGATTTGGCGGTCGTGCTTGCGCAGGACGCTCTTCAAGACCTCCTGCGCATGCCGAGACTTGGCCTCCTCCTTCGCCTTCGCCTCCACAGCGCTGGTGCTCTGCTGCGCGCAGCCGCAAGCCTTCAACTCCTGGACAGAAGGAGGTCTGCTTCCACAACTAACGGTCAACAGAAGTGTAGCAGGCCGCAACAACAAAGACGATGAGCAAACACTGATATCTTCCCTACAAGCAAAACTCAAGCTGCAAACACAGCAACGTCGTGTCATGTAGGTCATTTGCGTCGAAGCTACAAAGTAAGCACAACACGCTTCGAGGAGTGTTGGAGGTGCCCGATACTCCATTTGTGGGTGTCCCGCAAAATCGTCCAAGGGCGCTGTATGCTTTCTGTGAGTGTTTTGGAAGCCTCGAGTTGTGCAACCAGTCGGGGTTGTTTGGAGACTCGAAACTTGGGGCTGGGAAGCAAAAAATGGAAAAAAAGGCCACCGGCAGAGGCTCGAGGCTCGATGAGTTGCAAAGAAATCGCGACAGTGAGACACGGCTTCGAGTTGCGATGGCATGCCTACTGACGCAGGCCTGGATCTCCACCTGCTGAAGCTCGACGACAGTCTCGAGTTGTGCCAGCTTGAGGAAGATGAACTCCATCTTTGAGGCAAGCGGTCCAAAGCCGGGCGTCTTGCCATCGGATGCGTTCTCCGGGAAGATGGAGGCCTCCTCCTCAGAATCACGCAGCGCGTGCTCCGGTTGATCGCCAGTCATGTCATTGGCGGTGCTGGCCGGATGGGTCTCAACCTTCCTAGTCAGAAGTGAGGATGCTTCCCCTGAGCAAGCCTCTCCATGAGATGTTTCCCCTGAGCAGCCCTCTCCGTGAGCATTGGCCAGGACCAAAAGCAGAAGAGGAAGGCCACAGGGCCGAGTGGCAGAGCGCCTGCCTGGCATTACGGGGAGAGACACAAGGTAACACTCTCCGGGATTCTCAATCGAGCCGAGACTGTGTCATGAATCCGGAGGCGCCCCTTGCAGAATCATGAGAGCTCACAGGCACAGAGCATCCAGGACAGTGACCACTTCGATCCCACCAGCTGCCCAACCCTAAGCCGAGGCTCTCTAGGAGTGCCTCAAAGGATGCTGGTATGCTCTGAAGTCTGACGCCAACGGCCTTAAGAAAAAAAGGGAAGGTGATGAGCGTGATGAGGGTGCAAGGGTCTGGCGTGGTCCTGCGACCTCCAAGCCCAAAACTAAACCCGATGTCTCACCACGGGCCTGAGCTCCGGGCGGAGGTGATCCCGATTGCTGCGTATGACATGTGCTCGGACATGTGATTGCCTCAGCTGGAAAAGAAGCACATTGGAGCTAATACCCTGCACTACAGCCTACAGTAGAAATGACCTGGCCTCATGCTTCCTAAACCGCCAGATAGGATGCCCCGTGCGTCCCAAACCCAAAGCCCTAGTCCTTTCAGAAAAAAGCTCCAGCAACATCCAACACTCGAAAATGACGAATTCTGACAACTCTCGAATCCTAGGGTTTGATCGTTGTTTGCATCGCATCGTAAATGGTTTTATGAGGAGTACTGTGTCGATAGGATTCTGGGCTTCGGGGCACTGAAGCTTGAGCAAACCAGCTTCTCCATGCGCCTTCAACCAAGTTGTGATTCATCTGAATAGTAACAATACCACGAGTATGTCTTTGTATACATATATATATATATACACACGTATATATATATATGTATATATATATATACATGTACATACATGTGTATATATATATGCATACATATTATGCTTATTCTTGCTGTTGTTTCCATGACTACTGAAACTGACATGTTATCTTATCTCAAGTATTGCCACTGTTGCATTTCAGGTTCCGAGAGAGAGCGCGCACGGTTTTTTGATCGTGAGATGATGCCCTGAAGCACAATTGGTTACTCGAGTGTTCGTGTAAGAGTGTCAACATTTTTAGCCCCTGCCGACATGTCTTGCACCTGGAAGAAGACATGCTAATCTTAATGTTACTGAGCATCTAGGCCCCACAATCAACCGAACCCAACACCCTAAATCCTGCACCCAAAGCCTAGACCCTAAGGCCCTAACCCATGACCCTGAAACTCCAAGCCCAAACTACCCTAAATCCTAACCCAACTCATGTAAACACATAAATCTCAGACCCTAAGGCCCATAGACCATCAACACTGCCCGAAACGCGATCCCACAACCTTAATACCTCCGATCCCTGAGCTCTGAAACCAGCTGCCGTCTGACACAACTGAGGCTGGAGCTTGCCGGGAGGATTGTGGTGCTTGCACTTCATTTCCAGACTCCTCGAGGTACCTCGGAAGGTCAGTGGAGATATGATATGGGCCCAGGTGATTCCTCATGGTTATGGTCAGGGTATGTTAGGGTGTAGGCATTTACGGGCCTTGATGAAAAGGATGGTGGTTTGGAAAGGGGGGCATATTATCATCCACGTAGAGAGGGACAACATGACCGGTATGTTGCTAGTTGCTCAGATCCCCATACCATCGTGATGAACATCGCCCAGCCCAGCGGAACGCAAGCGCCGCTGGCTTTAGGCACAGAGCGGCATTATCGACAAGCTTTGTTAGAAGATCCTGTTGTACTGAGAAAAGACATGAATACACGAATGACACAACGTTGTCGGACGAACGAAGCGGTTCTGGATTCAGACTTCAGTGCTGATATATAGTAACCCGTTTCATTTTAGTAAGCCCTATAGTAACCCTTATAGTACCCCTCATAGCAAGTAACCCATCAAAGATATAATTGAGCATGCTGACTTCGTCCTTCAGGAACGGAGAGCCGGAAAGCCGATCATGCGAGGAGCACGCTTTAGCCAAATATAGCAAGTAAGATCCAACCATCCACACTTTGAATCTCTTTGGTGATTGCAAAGCTGATGTTGGCAACCCTTCCTTTCTCAGCGTTTTCCACATCTCTTGAATTCGGGTTCTGCACACTGTCATCGGGTCATCAAGGCGCATTGGCACTTGTTTCAATCCATTAAGTGTCGCTCTTTGCCGAGCTGCTATGGACTTGCTATGGCAACCTGCCATTCGGAGAGGTCTTTCAGGAGGAACTTGGCCACTTCCTGGACTGATTCCAAGATCTGTTGCCCCAGTTCTTGGTGTGCTCGTCTTGCTCCTCCTCATATTTTTGGCCGTGTCCCCAAGCATCCTTCGCCCAGGAGCTGGAGGGCGCGCTTTGGGAGGTCCAAGAGCTGCGCCAGTTGGTTTTAGGGGTGTCATGTTCTTGCCAAGAGCTCCGGCTCCAGGAACCACGGGTGTCATCTTGGCCCTGGTCCTTCCAAGTCCAAGCGTGGTCTTCCTGGGAAACCTTCTGCGCACCACTGCGCCAAGTCTGCCACTCATCGCCGGCCCTTACACAAAACCTGCCTGCACGGCTCTGGGTAAAGACCCATCCAGCTCCATCGGCCAACTTCAGGAAAACCGTGCCCTGCTGGCCAATCTTCTCTTCGGACACCCTGAAAACCTGGCCACTCTTCAGGAATCCAACGATTCCACTGCGTGCCACATAGGGGCCGCTTCTCACATCCATTCCCTCACGCACCTCCATTGGGCAACGTCGTGGCTTGCGACTGTAATTTCCGTCATCTGACACTTTACCGCCTTTAACGGCTCTACCTCTTCTTTGCTTTCCTTGGACTCCTCAGCCTTGTCAGCCTTCCCTACTCGGAAGAAAATCTGCTGCAAAAGTAGCTTCGCGACGTCGGAAGGACGAGGCTCTGCGGCCTCACTGTCAGGTTCGGAATGCACTGGCGATCCTTGGCATGGCGGAGTTCGTGTCTCTTGACTCTCCGGAGTGTCTGGAGTGTGCAAGGAAGCAAGAAGCTCTTTGAGCTCCTCAACTTGCTTCTCCAAGTCTTCTACTTTCATGCTTTGTGTCTTGAGCTGGTCTTGCAGCTCGGTGATCAAACAACCTCGTTCTTCGTGATCTCGCAACATCGAAACCATCTCATCCCTCAAGTTGTCCATCATGCCTGCGATACGCTCTGCCAACATTGTCAGCAGAGGCCGCAGCGGCACCTCTAGCAAAGCTGTGGGCCAAAAGTGCCTCGAGACATGGCATCTGCAAGATGCAAGCATTCTCGGGGCTACTGGTTGTCTGCTACTTGGCAATGCACAGTCACGTGTCTCATCGATTTCGACACAACGCCTGCAAGAGAGACCAGTGCCCCTCCCCCGAAGCACTGGGAACCGCGACCAAGATCCGACAGTCCCTAAACTTAGCTGAAACTGTGAGCCCTAAACCTCCAGACCCACATGAGCCTGGAGGCTTGGACTTCGCACTTTACCGAGCTTGCGGCCTGCGCCTCGTGC